TGAAAAAAAGAAACACAAATGTTGAATTACTTGAATTTCTTTTTTTTTTCAAAAACAGAAAAAAAAAAAAAAAGGAAGCAAAATGTACAACAAGTTCCTACAGGGGTTATCGATAATCAACAACAACAAAAAAAAGACTACATTGTACAGATTTTGCTTCAGAGCTTGATTTTTCAGCTCCATATAAACACATCCTGCAGTTCAGCTGAAAAGCTTTTTGTCACATGATTGTCATCTGAGTCACTCCTGGCTTCACAGTTACACAGAGAAAAGCAGAATATTTTCTTTTTTTACGGAATCTGGTTCGCGAATATGTTTTATTTGTTGGCAAATCCTTTAATGCAACAGAGAATGAACCGATTTTGGTAAAACGTCACGATCCTAAGCTTAGGTTTGCTCAAGCTTCTGATGGAACAGCATGTGACAGGTGAGCAGTTGGAAAATTACTCATAAAAACAAAAAAGTGGATCGACATACTACAGACGCTTCAGTTTGAGTTGGTTTCTGTACTGGTCTCCTATCTCCTCTATTTAAACACAGCCTGCAGTTCAGCCGAAAGTTTCCTGAATTTTTGTCACGTCTGTTATTTACAGCTCTATCACTAATGACTTCACGGTTGCATCGAGTAAAGCAAAATTTTTCTGTTTTTACAGAATGTGGTTAGGGCAAATGCTTCATTTTCAGCAAATTCCAAAATAAAATATGTAGAATAAAGTGACTTTGATGAAAAGTCATGACTATAAGCTGAGACTTGGCCAAGGTTTCTGATGGAACAGTGTGTCACAGGTGAGTATTGGGGGAATTTTACAATAATAATTATACAAAAAAAAGAGTGTATCTACATGTTACAGATACTTTACTACGTACAGTTTAAATTTGTTTCCATCGTCTCCCATCTACTCTAAGGCCCCATTTACACATAGTAAAAACGGTGATATTTCAATGCGTTTGGTTGTTTGGTTTACACGTAAACGAAGCCACAAGTCACCGAAAACAATCATATCTGAAAACTCCGGCCAAGGTGGACATTTGGCAAAACTCCGTCTTTACGTTTGCATGTAGACGGGAGGAGACAGAGTTTGACGTCACAGTATGCGACAAAATCAGCGTCATATGTGTGCTACCATGTTTACAGTTTTACAATCAATGTTTTCAAGTATTGTACTTGTTTTGTACTCGAACACCACAAGGAGTCGCTTCACTTCTCTGTTGGTCCATTAACGTTGAAGTAACAGGAAGTAATTTGTGCCATTGGTTGTTGTGTTTTTCCAGGATTCTGATTGGCTAGCATGGCTTTATGCTTCTTGCTACACTGCCCCCTATAGGTTTGGCAGCTCATAGCAAATTAATATCAAATCAAATCAAATTTTATTTATATAGCACTTTTCATGTACTACAACAACACAAAGTGCTTAACAGCATTTAAAAACATTACATTTAGGAATATTATAAAAGAAAATCCGTCCCTCCCACCGTCCATGCATACACATACACATATGGCACATGCAGTCACACACACGTGCACACACACACACACACATACGCGTGCGCGCACACACACACACACACACACCACTAGACTAAAGGAAGCATGGCATGGCACTGAGGGATTGTGGGAAACGCTACCATTGGGGCCATCCACACCGGGAGGAGTCGCAGACCATGACCACTGGGGGCGCCGGCACCCGGACCTCCCCGACCTGGCAGACAAAGGGATCCCCACAACGAGGTGAGGAGCCCTCCAATCAGCCGGGCCGAAGGAACCCGCAGACAGCACCCCCAGCAGCAGAGCACACACAACCCCCAGTGTGAGGACCCCCCTAAGGAAACACTGGAGTTAAAACTTAAACCTTTAAGAATAAAAGGCCCTATGTAAGATAAAATTAAAAGAGTAAAACACATAAGATAAAGATAAATAAATGATCAGAATGTAAAAAGAATGAAAGTTCAATTAAAACCCTGATTAAACCGGTGTGTCTTTAACCTTTTAAAAATATCGACACTCTCTGCAGTCCTGAGGCTCTCCAGCAGGCTGTTCCACAGGTGGGGCCGTCGTGGCTAAATGCCGCCTCACCGTGGGTTCTGGTTCTCGCTACTGGACGACCTCCGGATCCGCGGGGGTCGATACGGTAACAGCAGGTCAGATAAATAGCTGGGCGCGAGGCCGTTAACACATTTAAAAACTAGTAAAAGAACCTTAAAATTGATCGTGAAGCAGACGGGGAGCCAATGCAGCGACTTTAAAACGACCTCTGGTCCTCGTCAGCACGTGAGCGGCTGAGTTTTGTATTAATTAGAGATTTAAAATACTCTTTTTGGGGAGACCAGAGAGCAGGGCATTACAATAATCTAAGAGGCAGGAAATAAAAGCATGCATTAGCACCTCCGTGCTGGCCTGAGAGAGAAACGGGTGGACTCTGGCTATGTTCCTAAGATGATAAAAACCTGTTTTCACTATATTTCATAGTAGCTCTTAACGATGTGTTTATGCGGGTTTGTGTAAATGAAGACTTTTTAGAAAATGAACAATGTTATTTTTGAAAACGTATATCCGTTTTTGTAAATTCCCAGCGACGTGTAGACGTGACCGAAGCAAACACGGCCTGCAGTTCATCCCTGTTCAGCTGAAAAGCTTCTGAATTTTCCTCATGTGACTTTTGAATTAATTAAATATCATGACTTTAAGCTGACATTTGGTAAAAAATTCTGATGGAACAGAACATCAAAGACAAGTAGTTGGAAATCTGCTTTCTGTTTTTACAGTTTATAGCTTGGAAAATTTGCATAATTTGGGGGTTCAGAGAGAAGTTTTCGACAATAATGAGGAAAAGATGAAAGACAAAGACAACAAGGGTTGATGGGAGGAATAAAAAAGAAAATGAAAGGGAGAAAGTTATTGTGGAGTAGGAGGGTAGAAAAGATGTGACGACAAGACAAGAAAGACAAGGAAGTGAAAAGAGAAAAATGGTAATTGAGAGAAGTTTAATGAAGGGGACGGAGGAAGAGGACAGGCAGATGTTAACTTGACATGAGGTAAAACCTTAAAGAAAGATGGAGGAGCAGAAGTCAGCAAAAAAAAAAAAAAAAGGAGAAAGAAGTGATGGATAAGGAGGAAAGACGGGAGATGGAGGGAGATAACGGCCGAGACCCAGATGTGACAGAGGAGCAGGAGGAGGGTTAGCGTGGAAACAAAGGCAGGAGACGGATCAGGGCGGACAGAAAAGGAACAAGAACATAAATTACACCCACATACATCCAACCAACCATCAGTCTTTTTATCCCAAATGTATAAATTATCATCCTACTTCCTCCTTCCTCCTGCCCCAACGTCATCCATTATCATTAAAGCTTTGTGGCGCTCACACCACAGCTTGCAGCAGGACAGAAACTGTGCTGTTCACACATGTGGGTGGCAGGTTTCTTGTCTTTTTTTTTTTTGTGCTTTCATATCTGTCCCTGTTGTGCCAGCTGGCTTCTCTGCCAATCAGAAAAGACTCCTCTCCGGCACTTGAGAAACTTACGAGCTGCCAATATCACTTCTCCACTTCTCTGTATCTGCTCCCTTTCTCTTTCCTCCCTGCCTGTTCCTTTTCTGTTTTTTTTTTTCTAGTTATCTGCTCGCCTGCATGCAGCTTTTTCTTTAATTAACTCCTTAATCAAAGACGCCACTTCAAAGTCACAGCTTCGGGGTCTGTGTCTGCCTGTACGAGGCGGAAACAGGAGAAAAGAAACGGGCCCGGTGCCATGTTTTACCCTCTTCATCTCCACTCGGTTGTCTTCACCTCCTCCTCAACTCTCCGCTGTCTGTATCAACAGCTGTGGAGTCGCTATTGACCAGAGCCAACAACTGTTTAGCGCCCAAGGTGAACTGTGGCGCTACCTTGCACGAATCGTAATGGCTGCAATGCTTACCGCCAGCGATTCTCCGAAGCGTCCGTGTCCTGGCTGCTAAAACTCGAGGGCTCGGCGGACCGAACGGACCGCACAAGGCGTTGGAGCCGTCGGTTTTGTCTCTGGCTGTCGTATTAGAGGGCAGATTGGCACTTGAGGGACTTAATGAAATCGGTCGTCACTCAACTGGAGTGGAACACCTGCGGTCTGCTGCTAATGAGGCCTGCTGGAGAAGGCGACACCAAGAAGTCGCTCTGTTTCGTGGATCTCGGTGTTACGGTGAACAGCGACCCGGTTGGTTCTCTGGACCCGGTCCACCTGTGCGGTCATGCTTTGGCTCGGTTCTGTGAAATGCCAGATAATCTGATTGCTCCTTTCCAGTGACAAACAACAACGCCGATGACCACCGATCGATACGGAACAAATCAGATCCAGAACCGGCCTGGTTAAATGCCACGTGCTTTATCTTTGCCGTGGCTTAATTCCGCTGGAAAATACAGGCAGAGACAAAGTAAAAAGACAATTTTACAATAGATATGAAGCAATTCTTGTGTGTGTTTCATAAACCTCTCTCTGCCTGCACTCCGCCGGTGTCAGGGTCACACCGATGTACTGTACAGCGCATTACACTTCCACTGCACCTTACTTTTCTGAAAACCGCGGCTCAGAATAGCTCATCTAATGACTTTTATGCAAAACCTTCCTGAAAAACAATAAGCAAATGGCTGGCAGAGCTGCTGGGTAT